GGGAAGACAGTGATCTTAGAATCACACATTTGCTATTCAAATAAATCCAGAAAGAAAAAACACTGAGAAGAGAAGATGAGTGGTGAGATCAGTGGCAATGAAGACAATTCAAATACATACCATTTGAAATTACAGGGGAAAGACTAGGATAAATGGAGTATTTGAGAAGTATTAGCTGAAATATTTCTACATTTAATTTTTAAAAATCTAAGCAAAATCATCTCAAACAAAACCATTCAAAATAAACTATAATCAAATAACTAAAGCCCAATAGAAGTCCCCCAAACCCTTTGAGACAGGGTCTCACTGTATAGTTCAGGTATGTTTGCAACTCAGTATGTACTTTGAGCTGACATCAAACGCACAGCAATTTTACTGTCTCAGCCCCAATATCTGGGATTATAGGTGTATGTCACCACAACTCTTTTTAAGTCTTACAAGAGGCTGGAACAATGGCTGGCTTAGTGGTTAAGAACACTACATACTCTTGCAGAGAGCCTGGTTCCCAACACCCACATGGCAGCTTATAACCATCCACAACTCAGTTCCAGGGAATATGGTGCCCTTTTCTAGCCTGCCTCAACATCTGGCACACATGCAGTGTACTTACATACCCTCATACACATAAAATAAATAAATAAATAAATCTTGTAAAACAAAAGTTTTACAAAAAGCCAAAAAAAAAAAAATCTTGGAAAAGTTGCATATAAAAGTAACAGCCAGGCAGTGGTGGTGCATGCCTTATCATAGCACTCGGGAGGCAGAGGCAGAAGGATCTCTGTCTACAGAGTGAGTTCTAGGTCAGCAGGTCAGCCAGAGCTACACAGAGAGATCCTGTCTCAAAAACAAACCCGAATGAATGAATGAATGAATGAATGAATGACAGGCTTTCTGTCAGGAACTACACAAATTATTTCTGTAACTATTTATAACCTATTACAGAGATAAAGAAGGACATTTTACGGCAAAAGACCCAATTCCTCGTAAAAGACAAAAAACATTACATAGTCATATGCATCCAATAACTGTGCTTCAAAACATGAAGCAAGAAGTGAAAGAGAATCATATCCATTTGTTATATTCAATTACTACATCAATCCGAATGGTAGGATGTATGCTTGAAGTGTTAAAAACACAAGTAATTTGACCTAATTAACACTTTTAAAAATCTGTACTCAAAGACATTCTTCTTAGAACACATTAAAATATTCACCAACACTGACCATTTTCTATGCCTTCTCATAAATGTCAAAAAGTTTAAATGAATCATGTCATACAATGCATATTCTTGGAACAAAACAATTAAATTAGAGCCCTATAAAAATATATCTGGAAATTTAAATAAGTATTTGGAAATTAAATAGATCACAGAAAAAACTCACAATGAAATTTTATATCTTATAATTCAATGTAAATAACTATGTGGCACAAGGAAGAATATAAAAAAGAAGAGGAAAGAATAAATGTGTGTTCATACATAAGCACGTTCTGTCCTTCAATGCCTGTTCTTAAATCTATATTAAAACCTTTTCATAGGCTGGAGAGGTAGATGGCTGCCTAACAAGAGCAAGAGGCGAGGTTTAATCCCTTAGCCCTATAATTAATAATCTTTTCTCCAAATTTCCTTTAATGGAAAAAAATAGAATTTGAATTCTTCACAAACATTTTCAGAAAGAAAATAAGAGCTGTATTAACATAATAATAAAATAAAAATAGGAGCTAGAGAGATGGTTCAGTGATAAGTACTTGCTCTGAAATCATGAGGACTGGCATTCAAAAGCTAGCATCCATGCAGCAAGTCCAGCAGCCATCACAAAGTAAAAAGTAAAACTGCTGAAGCTTGCTGCCTTCTCAAGCTAGCTACAGGTTCAGGGAAGAGATTCTACCTCAAATGAATAACTATAAACTGACAGAGGAGGCCAACTGATGATCTCTACTGGCCCATGAATAGGCATACAGATGTGCACAACCACACACACATGCATGCGCGCACACACATACATAAAACTCCTTTTAAAAAGTGTTTTAAAAATCTCTACAAACCAAGGTCTTTTGTAAACACAAAAGAAAGAGTTAACAAAACTTTAAAAAATGAACCCAGTAACAAACAAAGATAATCAAACAGGGATTACCTCAAAAGCTCATGATAGTTGTTTCAATGTGCTAAAATTAATGCACCTGACAATCACATTGAGATTTTTTAAAAGACAAGCAAAAATATCATCACAATAAACTAAAACACAGTTAACAAAACTCTACCTCCATTCACAATATGGAAAGAAGGATCAACAGGAAGTGGTACAATGGTTAAAGGTGTTCCACCTCTAATCAGAAATAAGGGTAGGATGTTAGTTCTCACTGTCTCTATTCAACACTGTACTGAGATAATTAGTCAACAAAAATAAAGAAAGCAAAAGAAACAGATATATAAAAGGGAAGATGATCTTCACAGACTATCTGAAGGAATCTAAAGCATCTACCATCACCAAGTTTACAGAAGACAAAATCTTACAGAGGTACCAAGTATACTTCAATGTTATTAGCAATGAACTGTTAGAAACTAACAAGTACTAGCATAAAAAATGATGAGAGATTAATGAAAATAATTACATTAAGAAAGACTTTGAAGGGAAACGTAAATGGAAAAAGATACCATTTGGAAGACTCAACATCGTTATGAAGTCAACTCTCCCTAAATTGATCCACAGGGTAAAAAGCACTTACAATCAAAACTCCATTAGCCATTTTGTAGCAACCGACAAGCTAATACTAAACCAGAGAGAGAATTGGAAAGGACCAGAATAGACAAAATGATTCTGAAATCAAATAGCAAAGCTGGGAAGTAATATTACTTTTTTGTTGTTTGCTTTTGAGACAGGTTCTCACTATATAGCTACATTTATCCTGAAACTCACTCTGTAGACCAGACTAGCTTTGAACGCACACCTGCCTCTTACTTCTCAGTACTGAGATTAAAGGCACGTGCCATTACACACATTTACTATTCCTTGTTTTAATAGTTATTATAAAGCAACAATAATCAAAATAGGACAGCATTATTGTAAGAATAACAGAGCAAAATAACAGAATAGAGAAAAAAAATAGGATAACCGAATAGAGCAAAATCCAGAGCAGGCCCACACATAATAGTGAGCTAAGTTTTATCAAACACACCAAAATAATTCAAAAGGAAAAAAGTCTTTCTTTCAAAAGTTGCTAGAAAAATCTGATACCCCAACCTTTACCTCACACTATACACAAAAAGAACCAAAAAATTATTGCAAACCTAAATATGACACTCCAAAAATATTCTAAGGTATGAGGGGAAAATAAACCATTTTTAAAACTTTTGTCAATCCCCATGATAAACTTCTAATCTCTACTCAAAACTAAAGAAGAATTAAAGAGAAAATTTCTGAGGCTCTCAAGTCAGCATATATATCTTTAAAGCATTTCCCATTTAATAAATATTTTAGTAATTCCTAAGCAAGTCTTAATTCAAATATAGCCCATTGAGCCACAGAAATCTTCCATGACTAAGATACACTACCCTGCAAGGAAGCAGCAGAGCACTGAATGTAACTTGAAGACTTCATGGTAATGGCTGAAGTCACACAGCCATCACCAAGTAAATGGACACAAGAATGACTACATTCCTACAGGAGGTTCATATCACTTTGTTCTGAGCAGTCAGTAAACAAAATACATAAGAGAATCTACATTCAAAGATTTACAACAACCCAGAGTTTATACTCAAATGAGAATTGGACTTTATTATTATAACACCACTGCATGTAAGAAACTTTTAGACTGAAGGATATTTTGCTTCAGTTGGAATAATAAGCATTTCCTTTCTAGTTTCTTAGGTCACTAGCTATCACTGAATGAGCTGTTCTGCAGTTAGGATATAAGGCTGTATATATTAATATATAACCATAAGAAACTGATATGCCTGTAACATAAAAACCAATTCTTTCTGACATTTAAGTATTCAAAAAAATAAACCTTTTGTTAAACATCAAAGTATACTCATTAAGATGGGGGTCTCATTATGTAGACAATACTGTCAAGGATCTTCTGATTCTCTTGCCTCAGTTTCTCTAGTGGTAGAATTAAGGTGTGCTACTATGCCTAGCAGCAAAAGTGCCCTCGAAATGACAAAGAAAAAAAAAACAGTAACAAAAGCAAAGCAAAAAAAAAAAAAAAGCCCCACTTTAACAAACCTTCCCCCAAAACTTAACTAATGTGACTACCCTGATCCACATTAGTTCAATCCCTGATTAAATGTTTCAAAATTACTTATTATTAAATAATCTAGTATTAACATAATTTATGTTTCTCCTACCTTAAATAAAAAGTGAAATTCAAGCGAGGTTTTACTCATGAGAACATCTAAGGACCACATCTTACTATATTATTCTAAGCACTAGCCTAGAACAATGCAATCAAAATAGCTTAATCAATAACTGTAAACATGGGCTCATGAAGGCAACAACTTCAAAGCCACACAAAACACTCCATCCTCTAAACATCCCCTAAAATGTGTTCTATTTTTCTCTCTGATCTTCACTTCTTCTGAGGCATGGCTAGACTTCCTTTTTTTTTTACTTGAAAAATTTTCTTAGGTTATTTATTTCATGTACTCTAACCTTGTTTTTTCCTATTTATTACCACAGAACTGAAGACTAGTATTTTCAAATGAAAATTAATATATTAATTAACATTTTACATGAAGTACATTAGATAAAAAGTTTAAGGTAACCTTAGGAAGGCCAGATAAAATTTAAGAAAACTTGACAATATATGTTTAATATTACACATTCCAATGAGACCTTACAAATTTCCATAATAGATTTAAGATAATCCCGCAAGGTAAACTCTAAAATTACTGCCATCCAAGGTTACAAAAATAGCTTGATTTTTAGTAAACATTTCACTATGGTTACATTTTATAATATGGTACAAGGAAAATTATCTTATTAGACATCAAAAGCTCTTACATTTGATCCTTGCAGAAAATTCTTTGTTCCTTTTCCACAAGATGCAATTCCTTAAGGAAGAAAAAAGGAAAAAGAAACTGGGTTATTATTCTTGACTCTTAGAAAATCAAACATGTTTTATTATTATAAAATACTCGATACCAGTCTTGGTAGTTAACTCCCTAAATACTTACTGATGATGCAAAACAACTGCCAGAGGGCATTTGTTTTACTTAAATAAAATGCCAGCCAGTAAAGTGTGTCTAATGTCACACCCATTTTTTTTTCAGGAAAAATAGCTTAAATGCTCATTAATAATTGTCGTATGTGATTCAAAACTTAACTCCTAGCCCTATCTTCCTATTCTCTATATCATCTGGCACCCCAATAGTAACTGCATTGTGTATACAGCCTACTGAACTCATTAACTGCAATAAAAAATAATAAACTAGTTTAAAAGAATTCAAATGCTATATTTCGTTTTTAAAAAGAAAATGCATGAGAGGCAATGATTTGCATCATACTAACATGTATCTGTGCTCCAATATATGATGTATACCTATACTTTCACTGGCTAGCTTCTGAAGTAATTTTAAAAAATAAGATAATGAATACATACGGACAAAAATGAATAGAAAATACCATTTTCAACAATTTAGCTCAATTAAAAAACCACACAATGTATCACATACATAACGAACACTGTGGTCTTGACCTTGCCTAGAGATAGTAACAAGTCATTTGGGTAAAAGGAAAAAACAGTTAAATCATATAGTGGTGTTAACACAATGACACAGAAAGTGTATGCTTAGGTAATTCAAATGATTCCCAAGTCTGTCTACTTTAAATAATGAAATGCATCATGTTTCTGCAGAAATCAAATTTTAAGAATCTAACCCAGGCATTTTATTTGTTGTGAGGTCATAATTTTTGTTTCTATTGGGCACATCCTTTAAATGAATCACACAAACTGCCAAATAATCTTTTTATATTAGCAAATTAAATATTAAACACTCAGGGATTAAAAGACACACAAAGAAATCTCTTTTCCTAGGCAAAGGTAGAAAGAAGCTTGCTTTAAAATGATACTTTGGGCTTTTAACCTAATTTTATTAAAATACAGAAAATAAATAAATTAGTATCTGTTCTGTGTGTCATAGGGGAAATAAAGGTTTACCAATGTCTTTCAAGGTAGGTAACTGATTAAATGGAAAATATACTTCATATGTCCATAAACCTTTGCTCCTCAAATTTATAGATAAACTGTTCTTCATCATGTTTTGATTATCTTCTCAAATAATTTCAGAAGATAACATTGAGAACCAAGTTTTCATATTTTTTATAATGATCTATAATGAAACACACTAAAATATCTAACCGACCCCCAAACTCACTGCCTCATCTAGCCGAGAATAAGACAGCCTGAACTTTCTGTAATTGCTAGCCCTAGTTCCCTCTAGTATCCATTTACCTAATAAATGTTCAGATCAATGATACCATCAGCCAGGCCATCCCCAGGAAAGAAAACTATCACAATTATCATCACTTCAAATGAGTAAAAATATCATAGTTTTGCAAGCATAAACTTATTATACTGTTATACTGATATGCTTTTTGTTTTTTTGGTTTGGTTTGGTTTGGTTTTGGTTTTGGTTTTTCAAGCAAGGATTCTCTGTGTAACAGTCTTCTGGCTGTCCTGGAACTCTCTGTTGTAGACTAGGCTGGCCTCACAGAGATCCACCTGCCTCTCTGCCTTCTGAATGCTGGGATTAAAGGCGTGCAACACCACCTGACTACTGATAGGCATTTTAAAAGATCTATGTACAAAACTCATTTTTATGTCTTCAGCAACTAGTCAATATCTGGCACATAATTCAAAACATTCAGAATTTACTTACTGAGATTATAATATATTCCACACATTTTCTAAGTTCTAAGGATATATTCTCACCTTTCTCACCTTAAATCCTAGTGAGAAAGAACTTAACACAGATAAGAAATAAATGTGGCAGGTTAACAGAAAACCACTGTTAAGAAAATGATTAACAGGGAGGGAACTGAAATTACAGAGAAGATGTTCTGGGAAGGCCTAATACAACACTACAACGCCGTAAGTGTTACGAAGAAACAGTTATATATTAACAGATAAAAGTCCAAAAATTCATCACTGTCCTATTTTTTATCCTCAAGAGGAAATGAAATAATAAAGAAGCAACTTCTAGCTGGGAAGTGGTGGCACATGGCTTTAATCCCAGCACTTGGGAGGCAGAGGCAGGTGGATCTCTGTGAGCTCAAGGCCAACCTGGTCTACAAGAGCTAGTTTCAGAACAGGCTTCAAAGCTACAGAGAAACCCTGTCTTGAAAAAACCCAACTTCTAAAGTCATACTGATGTGGGAGTCCCCTCTGTGTGCTGTGATTACCAAAAATGAATAAAGAAACTATCTTGGCCTGGATAAGGTAGAACTTAGGTGGCGGGGAGGACGGGACTGAATGCTGGGAGAAGGAAGGCCAAGAGTGAGACGCCACTGAGCCGCCAGAGACAGACATGCTGAATCTTTGCTGGTAAGCCACTGCCATGTGGCAATATACAGATTAATAGAAATGGGTTAAATTAATATAAGAATTAGCCAATAAGAAGCTAGAGCTAATGGGCCAAGCAGTGATTTAACGAATACAGTTTCTGTGTGATTATTTTGGGGCTAAGTAGCCAGGAACGACCAGGTGGCCCCCAGCAACTGTCATACAACTAGTAAAGTGGTGAAGCCAGGTGAACATACAGGGACAATTCCAACTGCTATGTAAAACCACTGATGTGGTATGTCATGTATATGTGTTGCTTTTATTGGTTGATAAATAAAGCTGTTTAAGCCAATGGCTTAGCAGAGTAAAGCCTGGCAGGAAATCCAAGCAGAGATAGATAGAGAGAGTAGGCGAAGTCAGGGAGAAGACAGACAGACAGCCACTGAGGAAACAAGACATGTAGAAAATGATGTAAGGACACAGCCATGTGGCAATACACAGACTAATAGAAATGGGTTAATTTAAAATGTAAGAGCTGGTTAGAAATACGCCTGAACCATTGGCCAAACAGTGTTGTAATTAATAGTTTCTGTGTGATTACTCAAGTCTGGGCAGCAAGGAAATGAAAATGCAGTCTCTATCTGCTAACCACATCATAGTTAATGCCTTAGCTGAATAAGCAAGTGAGAACTTTTAAGTTATACAAGACAACATAGGCTAATAACATGAAAAGGAATGACACCATGATATAATAATTTTATGGTTGGGGGTCACAACATGAGGAACTGAATTAAAGGGCCACAGCATTAGGAAGGTTGAGAACCACTAAGCTAGAGTGATAATTATCTTTTTATGATAATGAGATGGCTGGTCACTGGGGGGAAGGGAGGAGTCCTAAGATAGCTTAAAGGTCCCCCAAATAAGTCCAAATCATGATTAAAATAATCTTAAAATATACTCCAACTTAATTTTCTCCCATCTTATCAATGACTGAATAGCAAAAGGCTAAAGGATGAGTTGGTCACCATCAGCTAAAAATGCAATAAATCATACCTAAGTGTAGTAGTATTTCATCTGTATTTTAATAAAGCTTGCCCGAAGATCAGAAAAGTAAAACAACCATATTGGCCAGCCTTATAGACAAGGCAACCACGACACACCCTTTTAATCCCAGTAGCCACAGTAGCTTGCCATAGAAACCAGGAAGTAGTGGTACATGCCCTTAATCCCAGAACAAGAGATGACAAAGAGGGAGGAGACAACTCTCAGGCTCAGTCTCATTCTGAGATTCTTGGAGGCAGGATCACCATTTCAGACTGAGGTAGAAGCAAAAGCCAGTGACTGGCTGGTTTGCTTTTCTGATCTTCAGGTTGGACCCCAATATCTGTGTCTGAGTTTTTATTAATCGTGCTTCCCTCAAAAACCCCCAAAGGGCAGCATGATGGAAATAGTTACACTAGGGGTCTGGAGGATAGCAGGACCAGAGAGTTCCCTATACCTATCCACATACCGTGCCCTCTGCATCATCTCTCTCTGGCAGTTTATCTGTATTCATTCTCTGCAGTATTCTTCATAATACCCATCACAGACTAGCACTCAATTCAAATATTCAAAACCACAAGTATTTTGAGCACTGACATGACTCCAGAAGCAAAAATCCTAAACCTAGTCTTCACATAAGAGGCTAAAGTAATAACACTGGTATACTCAAAATATTGCACATAAAATTACCTTCCAGCTATGTAAGGTATGTATCAAACATCACTGACTTCTATGTTCAAACCGCATCTCCTTCCCTAAGATATTGACTTACATTCATACAAGTATTATGAAAGTTTCAAAAGTCTAAAATCAGAAATACTTGAGCCAAAGCTTTTCATATAAAAAATATTCACATGTACAACAGGTCAACAACAACAACAAAAGTACCCCTGAGGTCTGTGGGCTGCTCCAGCAATAAATCAAACCTGTGATGATGCTTTGATAACCCATGCTTTTAGGGAGTTGTTCAGAAATAAAAACACAATCTGGAACTTGGAGCAAGCATCTAAACTGGGGCTTAAATAGGATTGAGCCTGCAGTGTATGAGATAGATTATCAGAAAAGAATTTAATTAGGTCATCCACGTGGTTTCCACTCGAGAAGATTTCAGTAGATGTACTGTTACCAGGAATAAAAGGACATTTTATATTACTTTATATTAGTATCAGCTTTTTTCTTTTTCTTTTCTTTTTTTTTTTTTTTTTTTTTTTTTTTGGTTTTTCAAGACAGGATTTCTCTGTAGCTTGCATTACAGAATCAAACAAGACGTAGATAAATCAATTATACTTCAAGATTCAAAATTCTTAACAACAGTACATTAGTAGTTAGAAAACTTAGTAAAGACATCTAACCCATGAATAATGTTATCATCCAACTTAAGATTAATTGAACCCTACAATCATGTTTTAAAAAAGGAAGTATTCAAGTACATATGTTTCCTGATACAATCAACACAAACATACCTACAACTGTAAATTTGGAAGGACTGAGCTCCTACAGAAAATGTTT